GCCATTCGTTTTGTTTTGTTTTGTGCCTGCTCCCACTTCTCTGTGTCCCCTCTGTCTGTCCATGGTGTCACTGTGTCTGCTTGTGAGTCTGTCTGTTTAGTTCAGTTTCTTGTCTGGTTCTGCCTGTTAGTTTCCTGTTTTATTGGACTGGTTCTTATGTAGCGCTTTTCTACTCTGTACGAGCACGCAAAGCGCTTTATACAGCTAATTTATTCACCCAATCACTTCTAAGCTTAAGTGGTAAGTATCTAACATTCATACACATTCACACTCCGATGGATGCATCGGAGAGCAACATGGGGTTAGTATCTTGCCCAAGGATATTTGGCATGCAGACTGGAGCAGCCTGGGATTGAACCACCGACCTTCTGGTTAGTGGCTGATCTGCTCTGCCACCTGAGCTACAGCCACCCCAATTATGCTGAAGGTCCTTGTCTTATATGAGTGTGTTCAGTTTACGTTTCCCCGCCTCGTCAGCTCTGATTTCACCCAGGTGTGCTTCCCTCCTGTCTCCCATCCCCTGATTACTGCTGTGTGTATTTAAGCCCTGTGTGTTCTCCTGCCTGTTGCTGGTTCGTCTGCGTTATTCCCCTCGGGTTCTCGGGAGGGGCCGTGTTGACACCTGTTGTCCTCTGGCAGGAAGCGCCATGACCTCCCGTGTTTTAAATACACTTTAGAACAGCACGCAGCAACACTATATATGAGCGGGTGGAGGGAGGTTTGGGGTCTTCACACACACCCGTTCTCTGTTAGCCATCGGAGCGGAGGGGCTGGGATGAGGAGCTGACTGTCCGATTGGCATCTGGAGTGAAGGGCCTCCCTGCTACTGTGGAGCCAGGGGTGGTCTGCTTGTGTCCACCCCAGGGAAAAGGGTAGCATCTCCTGGGTCTAGGTGCGGTTTCCCCCTCTAGGGGTGAGGGTACCTGGACCTGGGGTATAGAGCATGTTTGGGGAGTGTGATTGTGTGTACAGTGTCAATTTGTGTCTGTCTCCTCGTTGGATGAGTGCTGAGTATTTGTATATGTGTGCATGAGGGTGGAAATGCACGTTTGTGTCTGTGTGCGCCTGTTCGTCTGTGTCTATATGTCAGGTCGTGTCTTAGACTCCACCCCTCTGGGAACATCTCACGCCCTCCAAGGCATGAAGGCCTATCTCCCCTCACCACACTCCCTGCCGGTGGTTGGCGCCTGTGGTTCGGTCGGGCCACTTCCGGAGGGTGGGGGGCCCTCAGGCCTCTGGGCCTGGAGCTTGGTCCGCTCTGGCCCAGAGCCCACGGGCATGTCACTGCAGCCCCCTCTGGCTTTTGCTCCATGGCTGCCGGGTAACCCCTCGTCTGGGCTCTCCTCAGCTCTACTCAGAAGGGTGCCATGGTTGCCCCTCCGATGGTCCTCCTTGGACTCTCGCAGTCTGGGGGCCTCTGGATGTCTGGGACCTGGATCTCCTCGATGCTTGCTTCATGCCCTGGGGGTCGGGGCTGTGGCTCCCCACACCCCCTAGCAGATCATTACATGGAGAAAC